CGGGCATCCTAGCTCTAGGCTCGAGGACGTGGATGCCACCGCCTGTCACTCGACAGGGGTGGTCATCCAAGCCCGAATTGGCCTTCCACAGGGCACCAGCACTGACAGGGCTGGCCGTGCAAAACAGAGTTGGCACCCACTGGTTACTACGACTGGTATCAAGTTGCCGCGCCCGCAACCGCAGGATGGTCGATTTTTGGCCATCTGGGCGCGCCCGGCCCCTCGAATGCCCAGCCTGCCCAGCTGCGCCCGTGCTGCGAGAGTCGGGTGTCAAACCTGCCATAAGACAAGCTTGCATCCTCGATGATGGGCTCGATTTGTTTGATGGCAACGCCTGTCCATTGATATCAAGGGATGGCCATTCAAGCCCAATCTGGCCCCCGCGGGATGTCAAGAGTGGCGTGCAGTTGCCACGCCCGCCGCCGCAGGGGGGTCGAGCTTCGGCCATCCTCGCGGACCAGGCTCGTTGGTCTCTCAGCTGGGCCCTCGTTTCGAGGGCAGGATGCCAAAACCTGCCTGGAGACAGGGCTGGCAATCCAAGCTGTGGGCTCGAGGTTGTGGATGCCAACGCCTGTCCAACGGCAGGGCTGACCATTGAAGCCTAAGCAGGCTTACCAAGAAGTATAGCAACCAGTATTGGCCATTCACAGGGCTGGCCCTGAATTTGCCGCGCCCGCAACGGCAGGATGGTCGAGCTTCGCCAATTTACGCGGACCAGTTACCTCGAGTGCCCTGCATGTGCGTTCTTGCTGTGGGCTCGAGGCGGTTGATGCCAACCCCTGTCATTCTACAGGAATCGCCGTCCAAGCCCGAACTGGTCCCGACAGGATTCCAGTATTGGGCTTTGCTGCCGCGCCCACAACGGCAGGAAGGCGGATTTTTGGCCATCTATGCGGACCAATTTCCTACGCCACTGTCGCCCTGCCGTTCCTTGGGAAAAGGGGTTAAGCAAGGGTGCTCGTCGAGTTTCAAGAACTCTTAGTGGCGCCCCGGGCGTCCCTTGCGCTTTTCCCCTTAACCAGGATGGAACGGCGTCGGCCCGGGGAGGAGGAGGCGGAGGAGGAGGAGGAGGAGGATGAGGAAGAGGCGGGTGAGGAGGAGGATGAGGAAGAGGAGAAGGAGGAGGCGGAGGAGAAGGAGGAGGCGGAGGAGGAGGATGAGGAGGAGGAGGAGGAGGTGGATGATCATGATGGTGATGGTGATGGTGATGGTGATGGTGATGGTGATGATGGTGATGATGGTGATGATGGTGATGATGGTGATGATAGTGATGATAGTGATGATGATGGTGATGATGATGATGATGATGATGATGATGATGATGATGATGATGATGATGATGCTGATGAGGATGAGGATGAGGATGAGGATGAGGATGAGGGAGGAGGAGGAGAGGAGGAGGAGGAGGAGGAGGAGGAGGAGGCAGGAGGGAGGGAGGGAGGGAGGGAGGGAGGGTGGGAGTGAGGGAGGGGGAAAGGGAAAGGGAAAGGAAAGGGAAAGGGAAAGGGAGGGAGGGAAAGGGAGGGAGGGAAAGGGAGGGAGGGAAAGGGGGGAGTGAAAGGGAGGGAGGGAAAGGGAGGGAGGAGGGAGGGAGGGAGGGAGGGAGGGAGGGAGGAGGGAGGAGGAGGAGAGGAGGAGGAGGAGGAGGGGCAGGAGGAGGAGGAGGAGGAGGAGGAGGAGGAGGGGATGGGGGAGGAGGGAGGGGGAGGAGGAGGGGGAGGAGGAGGAGGAGGGACGGAGGAGGAGGAGGGACGAGGACGAGGGACGAGGACGCGGACGAGGACGAGGACGAGGACGAGACGACGAGGAGGGAGAGGCGGAGGAGAGGAGAACGAGGACGAGGACGGGGAGCAGGAGGAGCAGGAGGAGGAGGCGGAGGAGGAGGAGGAGGAGGAGAAAGAGGAGGAGAAAGAGGCGGAGGCGGAGGAGGAGAGGGAAGGAGGAGGAGGAGGAGGAGAAGAGGAGCAGGAGGAGGATGAGGAGGAGGAGGAGGAGGAGGAGGAGGAGGCGGAGGCGGAGGAGGAGGAGGAGGTGGATTCGGAGGAGGAGGAGGAGGAAGAGGAGCAGGAGGAGGAGGAGGAGGAGGAGGAGGAGGAGGATGTGGGCGTGGCGGAGGAAGACCTCTCCCCGAGCCTCTTCCCGTCGTGGCGAGAATCACGACGGTTGGCGTTGGGCAATGTTCCGGCCTCCGGGTGCGAGGCACTGGGGCCGTCAAGAACGATTGCGGATGAAATGCCGATCCCCGAGAAGTGGTCTCAGGGGGTCCGCTTTGCGGCAAAGTCACGACGCCGGAGGTCTTGCCCCCCCTCCGGCCGCTCAGGCCGACGCCCGCGCCCGCGGGAGGCGGCCCCCCCGCGAAGTTGAGCGGCGAGGCCTGGGAGGAGCGGGGGCGCCGCCCGTCAATCGTCGGAACCATCACATCAGGGGCAAGGTCAGGGGGGATGCGTGGGCTCCGATGGGGGGTGTAACGCGATGTGTTTGAGTTTTGTCAGACGCCTTCGACGGTTCTCGGCGGTTTTCCAGCCTGGGGATGTGTCACGCACCTGCGCCTCGCCGACAGCGTTCCCGGGGTGCCCGGATCGGCCGGAGCGGCCGGCGGAGACCCGAGCCACTTCCCGAAAGCCACGGGGCAATTCCAGGAGGGGGTGGGCTCAGGGGGGAGGCGGCATCGGCCCCCGATCGCCCAGTGACCGCCGACAGGGGCCGGAGAGCCCACCTCGCCCAACAGCGTGCGGATTCGCAATGTAGGGGCTGGCCTGACGCCGATCTATCGGCGATGTATCGCCGATTCCAGGTCGATCCACAGTTGCCCCTCGTCGCAGCGCCAGCTGGGACGCTGGGGTCGGACGAAGCCCAGAGCTCGCCGCGTTGCGAAACGACGCGGACAGTATGGCGTCATGCTCGGCTCTTTGCAGCCTGGCCCGGCCCAGGGGCCGTCAGAACGAGGCGAACGTTGATGGCCCCTGCGGCTGCAACTGTGCGGGGGGACGCGGCAGTATCCGCACGCCGGTCCGAGGAGTGCACGGATGACGACCCGACGTCTCGGCTCGGAGGAGGAGGAGACGCAAGTCCAATGAATGCCGCCGAAGAAAACTTGGAGCCACGAGGAAAGACGGAAAACGCGGCAATCCTTTTAGCCGCGTTGGTTGTCACCGCTTATAGGGGAACTGGCGTTCGCGGGTGACGTTTGGCCTTACGTAAGGTTATTAAGGGCCGGAGGATGGAGGAGGAGGAGGAGGAAGAGGAGGAGGAGGAGGAGGAAGAGGAGGAGGAGGCGGAGGTGGAGGGCCAGCCGAGACAGCGGCGGCTTTGTCTCACGTCTGGCGCCTCTCCAGGGCGCCCTGCATCGCCACGGCTATGGAGCCGCCTCGAGCAGCGGTCCGGGAGGGGTCCCAGACCTGCGAGATGTCTCGGTTGGTTTGTGCTCCAGGGCAGTGCCTCCAGGGTGCCCTGGGTTTCTTGGGGTCCACATGGTTTTTACGACGGAGAGCGTGGCGTCCCCACACCAAAAATCCAAGGACGTCCATGTCTCAGGGTTGGGTTTCGCGTGGAAGGTTTCTTGTGGACTGGCCTCCACTGCACAGGGTCCCCAGACCCCCTCGCGCTCCGAAGAAATCACGACCAGCGGGGTTTCCGCTATCTTCGGCGTCGGGGGGCCTTTCCCGGCCGGGCCTTGGTCGAACGGCCACAAAGGTTTACAGGGACGAAGAACCGGTCCCAGAGAAGGGGTCCAGACCTCTGGGGGCCGACGCGAAAACATCGCGACGTCGGGGGTCTGCAGTCCCAGGACGGTCCGAGCCCTTCCCCGGGGCCTGCGTTTTCCCGCGGGCAGTTGTCTGACGGTCTTGGGGCCCGGCGCGGGCCCCTGAAGCACGTGAGAGCGGCCGAGCACATCCCGTCGTGATTCGGGCCAGACGACAGGGGGGGATTGGGAAAGAGGGGGGGGAACGAAATCTGCTGCATGCAGCGGCTTTCGGCCCCACCGAGGGGCCCATTCCTCGATACATGGGCGCCTCCCGGCGCCGAGAGGCGCTGGGAAAATCAGCTACACGTGAGCTGATTCTCCCCCCCCCCCCTTAGCTATCCCCCCCTTTCGCCCGACCCGAAGTACGTGAGAGCGGCCGAGCACATCCCGCCGTGACTTTGGTTCGCAGCTCGAGCATGTCTGCGGAGGCGTCCGGGGGCTGACTATATAGGGCCAGCTTCGAGCCGTGCCGGCGTGCCGCCAGGGGCCTCCGCTCGCCCTCCTCCGGCAGCCGGCGCTCCAGCCGCACAGCTCGGCGGTGCGCCCTGCGATGCCCAGCTGCGGCTCCCAGCCTCACGGCTCTCATCGGCAGCGTCGCCTTCCTCCCCTACCTCGGCTCGAACGAACTGGGTGCGGAAAGAACGGGTACAATGCCCAACAGCAGTTCCTGCTCCTTCTGAACAGGCCTCGCTGTCGGTGTCGCCGCGGCCTGTGTCCATTGGAGACAGAAGGCCGCCTGCCCAACAGCGGCCGCTGTTGGTTTGGGACAAGATTTGTTGTCGGGCATTGTACCCATTCTTTCCGTACCCATTTCGGGCGTCCAAACTACCGCTCCGACGGCAGATTGTCGAAAAGTCGCTTCCCCCGTATTTCATGAGCAGGGGAAGGCGTTGTTGCCCCGACTGGCGCGAGGCCTGCAGCCAAGGCCGCCCCGAAGCTGCTGAGGGCTCGCGCGGTGCCCCAGCGGGCGGAGCCTTGGTCTTCGGCGCGCCGCGCCCCTCTGCACGAAGGGACACACAGAGGAGACCCTCCCAGGGTGCCGGTGGGTCTCTTGGGTTGCGATGGTTTTGCGATGGAGAGCGTGGCGTCCCCGCACCAAAAATCCATGGACGTCCTGGGGTCTCTGGGTCGGGTTTCTTGTGGAAGGCTTCTTGCGGTCGGGCCCCTACCGTACTCGCAGCCATCATGGCTACAGCTCTGCGCCCGAGACCCCACTCCTCTAGCTCTTCTCCGGTGTCCGCCGCTCGGCCGTTCCATGCTGCGCCCCGCCCTGTGGCTCGCGGTCGCCGCCGCGGGCCCCGGGGCGGCGAGCGGGCTGCATGCGGAACGGCAGTTTGCTGAGGACCTGTCCGAGGGCGCGCAGCTCGAGTTTCGTGCTGCGCCACCACTGGCGGGGCGTGGTTCTCAGAGGAGGGCGAGGTTAGACGACTGCAGTTGGCCTGCGGGGGGGGGGGCACTCGTCGCCACGGCAGCTCGGAAAGCTGGTGCGTTGGAGCCCCCAGGGAGGGGTGGAGGAGGAGGAGGAGGAGGAGGAGGAGGAGGAGGAGGAGGAGGAGGAACAGGAGGAGGAGGAGGAGGAGAGGATGGGAGGAGGAGAGGAGAGAGGAGGAGGAGGAGGAGGAGGAGGAGGAGGAGGAGGAGAGGAGGAGGAGGAGGAGGAGGAGGAGGAGGCAGCAGCAGGAGCAGAGGAGCAGCAGCAGCAGCAGCAGCGAGCAGGCGGCAGCAGCAGCAGCAGCAGCAGCAGCAGCAGCAGCAGGCGCAGGCAGGCAGCCAGCAGCAGCAGCAGGAGGGAGGAGGAGGAGGAGGAAGGAGGAGGAGGATGAGGAGGAGGGAGGAGAGGGAGGAGGAGGAGGGGGAGGAGGAGGAGGAGGAGGAGGAGGAGGGGAGGAGGAGGAGGAGGGAGGGAGAGGGAGGGGAGGAGGAGGAGGAGGAGGAGGAGGAGAGGAGGAGGAGGAGGAGACCGATTCTGAGATGCCGTTGTCTCAACTCGCCCTGCTCCGAGGTTCGGTGAACCACACAGCGGAAGCCCCTGCGCTGAAGAGGATCCACTTGATCTCCATCACCACGCCGGGGATTCGTCCATGCCCAGGGATTTGGGCACACGCCCCGCGAGGATCCCGTGGAGCGCTGGCCTTTCGTGCGGATATAATTACCTGCCCGCCCGCCGAAAACGGGAAGTTACCACATCCAACCCTCCGCCAGATCCTCGCGCGGGCAGCTCGGGCCGAACGAAAGGGGGGGATATTGAAAGGGGGGGTCACGAAATCTGCTGCATGCAGCTGGCTTCGGCCCCACCGAGGGGCCCATTCCTCGATACATGGCAGCCTCCCGGCGCTGGGAGGCGCCAGGAAAATCAGCGACGCGAGCTGAGTCTCAAACCTCCCCTTTGCTATCCCCCCCTTTCGCCCGGTCCGAGCAGCGCCTCCATGCCGACGCCCTCGTGGACGGGGCCACTCGGCGGCGGAAGCCTGGGGAGGCCCGGCGTGGAGCGTCCCCGCAGGATCGCGCGTTCGTGGGAGCGCCCTCTGGTGTCCCGGCCGCGAGGGCGCGGTCGCTCGTGGGGTGCCTGTGAGGCTCTGCACGAATGAAATGGGTACGGAAAGAAGGGGTACAATGCCCAACAGCGGATCTGGTTCATTTCGAACAGGACTCGTTGTCCACGCCGCCGCGGCCTGTGTCCATTTGAGACAGAAGGCCGCCTGCCCAACAGCGGCCGCTGTTGGTTTGGCACAAGATTTGTTGTTGGGCATTGTACCCATTCTTTCCGTACCCATTTCGGGCGTCAAAAGAGGCGCTCTAAAAATTCAGTCGGGGAATATTCAAAAATAGTCAAACAAATTGTCTGGGGACCTGTTTTGAGTAGTTTGGCGCATCTTTCTGAATATTTGTTTGGGTACTTTTCATTTGTCGTCCAAAGCCCCCCTGTATGGGGGACAGGCCCGACCTACTCCAAACAGGGCCTCGCCTTCGAGGACTGAAGGAGTTGGCATCGCTTCCGAGGCGGGAGGGCGGCGGAAGCTCGGCGGAAGTACGACGAGGCCACATCGGGCCGGCGGAGGGCGGCGGAGGCAGAAGAACGTCGCCTCCAAGGGGTGAAACACAGCGTTTTTGGGGTCTCGGGGTCCCCGAAGGCCGCCATGTGCTCGTCGCTCGTGGGGTGCACATGGCCAGACCCCCGTCGTCGTGGTTTTTGCACAACATCGATCAGGAGGGGAAAAAGACACACAGACACAATTAATCGTCGATTCCCAGGAACACATGGAAAAATATGGGAAGTGGGGGGAAGACAAAAACCTAGAAAATATAGGAAAATATTGAGAATCCTTTTATTTGCGTGTATTTATTTGTGTGTCTCAGGGCCCCTTCAGTCGACCCCTGGAGGTCTCGACCCATTCCCACCCGTTTGTCATCCTGAGCCCCTGTTTGACGGTCCAGAGGGCCGGCAAGGGCCCCCAGAGTCCGAGAGTAGCAGAAAGCCGCCCGTCGCGGTTTTTCTCGCGACGCGGGGAGGTCTGGGGAATGCCCGACGTGGGCCATCGGCAGGCAGGGCTCGTGCGAGGCCCTCGAGCTGTTCCAGCGCGCCGGCGGCGGCCTGCCGGGCCTGTCGGAGCCCCTGCGGTTCACCGTCGAGGGCAGGACGATCCTCACGGACCCCGATTCGGAGTTCAAGCGGCAGCAGGTGCGCTGCCTGTTCAGCGAGAACTTCAGCGAGCAGGATGCATCTGAAGTCGAAGGAAAAAGAGCCGGTCTTTTTTTTTAGAGTCGGGCAAGTGTTTGTTTGCATGCTGTTCACCCCCCCCCACCAGCCCCCCGTCGCCCTTCTTCAGACGAATGCTGGCGTGCAAGCGCCTTTCGACTTGCGTGGTCGTTTGCGCCTTACTTCGGGACCAAGCCCCCCCCCCGTCCATGCAAGTCAACTTGCCAGAGTCTTCACCAAGAAGCGCACAAACGGGCTAAAAGCGCCATACAAACATGAGCGTTTGGCGCTCGGCGCGGACTTCTCGGATCCGCGCGTGGGCCCCCCCTCCGCCCCATGGCGCGCGGAGCGCACCGGGGAGAGGGGGTCCGGCGCAGATCCAGGAATTCCGCGCGGAGCGCCAAAGGTGTAGGTTTATGGCGTTTTTTCTTCCTTCTAATCCTCCACTTGCCTGGGCGGCTTGCACCGCATCGTGAACACTCAGGCCCTGCTCGCGCTCAAGGAGCTGGCGGCCAACCCTGGCCACCCTCCCCTGGTGCTCAAGACCACCAGGATCGTGAACCTGAGGCTCTTGGCGGAGGAGCTGTCGCCTGAGCAAATCCGTGGTTCCAAGTTTGTGGTGCTAGTCCGGGATCCGAGGGCGGTCTGGGCGTCCTTCAAGCCGTTCCCGAAATGGGCCATTCATGAGATGCCCCTTGTTTGCAAGTTGCTTGCGGAGTCTCTGCTGACGATTCCTGCGCTAGCCGATGTAGCTTCTGACCATTTAGAGGTCGCTTTATATGAGGAGTGGACCAAGGACCTAGCGCGCTTTGCTGAGCAGATGGGCTTTTTTCTCGGCTTGGACAGCACCGAGATGGTGCGTTTCGCGCGCGAGAAACAGAGAGAGCCAGTCACACCCAAGTGGGTGGGCGAGCTGACAGACAAGGAGGTCTCTCAGATCGAGAACGACCCGTATTGCCGCGCTTACATGGACCGCGTCGGCTACAAGCCTGGCAAAGAGAAAGGTCTGGGGGGTCGTCAAGCCCAAACCCCCTCGGGCAATGAAAAACATCATGGCGGCAGGTCATTTGCCATCCTTTGGCCTCTGGGGGCCCCATACTGGCCCTCGGGGCCGTCAACAGACGGCTCAGGATGACAAAGCCGGTCCCGGGGCAGGGGTCGAGACCTCCAGGGGTCGACGATGTGAACAAAGCACGACGTCGGGGCTCTGGGTCTGGGGGGTCGTCAACGGTTTCTCCTGGCCTAAGGTGCCCCCCCTCGCCCTGCGCGCCCGTCCGGGGCACCCCTGGGGCCCGCCGAGCCTCGCGATGGGGCTCTCTCGGGAAGCTGCGGAGGGCCTCGCTGGGGAAGCCTGCCTGGGGACCTTCGTCCAGGGCGTCGATCCCCGGGGACATGCAGGGAAATATGGGAAGCGGGGGGGAAGACAAGAACCCAGAACATGTAGGAAACTCGTGGTCATCCTGGGATTTGTGTGTATTTGTGTGTGTGTGTGTGTGTGTCCCTGGGCCCTTTCGATCTCTGGGACCCCCCAGAAGGTATCGACCACTCTGGCCTGCGGTCATCCGCCGAGCTGAAGAAGGGGCTCAGCTCTGCTGAGCAGAGCGTGATCTCTGCGCTGCTGGCGGAGGGGCGTGCCGACGCAGAGCACACCCGCGAGCTGGTAGCCCGGGCGCAAGAGATCCACAGGCAGCGTGCGGCGGCCAAGGCGGCGGCAGATCGTGTCGTGATGCACTGAGAGGCGGGGTTTCTGTGGAGAGCAGTGCCTCGCGCCCGAGGTGGAGCTCGAGAGGGTGTCCCGCCAGATCGCCGTGAAGCAAGCGGGTAGTGAGGGAAGCGGCACCAGTGTTTCTGCCCGTGTTTGCCCACCCCTGGTTCTGGTTGACCCAAGAGGGGGTCCAGCGAAAAGAGGGTGGTCGAGGAGGAGGAGGAGGAGGAGGAGGAGGAGGAGGAGGACGACGACGACGACGACCATCGCGAGGAGGAAGAGGAGGAGGAGGAGCACCTGGTTGACCCAGAAGGGAGTCCAGCGAAAGGAGGGTGGTGCACTAGATTTGGTGCAATGGGTTGTGCGGTTGCAATAGATTTGGGGCGTGCAATACATTCTGGTGCGCAGATGTCTTGCTGGATTTTGGCGTACAACACATCCGTTGCAACACAATGAGTGCGATTCTCTGGCGCAATACATTTGCAAGACAATTGCCCAAAATCTATTGCACCACCCCCTTTCAGCAGGACCCCCTTTTGCGTCGACCAAACTAGTCTGCGCCCATGTGCGAAACCTACCCCTGCGGACACACCCGCTCGGTTTGACTTGGCTGCAGGCATCCTTCGAATTCCGAACCCAGCCTGCGTCCCAGCCGGCGTCTCAGAAATCTGGCCTGCAGGGGAAGGGTTCACATGTGGCTGCCCACCCGGGCCCTGCACGGCCCCCCGGCTGTCAAAGAACGACTCAGGATGACGAATTGTGGGGGAGCGCCCCTGGGTTTGGAAGCGGCCGGGAGCTGCGCTGGATGGGCCCTGAGAACCGGCCAAGAGGGAGGACCAGGACGAGTCGGCCC